GTCAGTTAGATAAACCTGGATCCGGTAGGTCGCTATCTCCATGAGAGATGTAACACTCCCAAACTCCACATTTGCATATAACACATATTTCATTACATAGAAATATAGTTTACATCATAAAGTCCCACTAGTACAAAGATTCCTATATGTACAAAATCTACATATAAAAAAAATTCAAAAACAAATCCTGTACTAACACATGTAATACAACATGTATCTTCAAAAATAAGCAATCTTAAACAGATATTTAAAAGCAGATAACAAATTAGGAAAATAATCACATTTTCCCTTCCCCTTTAATATCCCTGGACCCCGCTATTCCTGCATTGCAGAATTTTAAAACAGAAAATGAGGGTTAGACCAGAAAGGTCTAGTAAGAAAATCCCTTCTTTGCAAAATGCAAGGTGATAAACACCAAGATATAATAAAGTAACTTTGCTCAGAAATATTTGTAATACAATCCAATGATGCATTTCTCAATGATATGTATAAAAGAATAAACTCAAGAACTTAAGTTCTATTACTAAAATACATCTGCTTAAAGATTCAACATTCTCAATATGAAACAATATTGTAATCAAAGATTCTTTGAATCATTAGACCATTCCTTTGTAAATATTAACGGAAATGTTTAAGGCAATACTTGCCCTTTATGACAAACCATTTTCCCTTCTCAATATCTAAATTAATATTTCTAATAAGAATAATATCTTTAATTCATCAAGTCACAAAGAAATGATGATTCAAAGTTATTAAATCTAATTAGTAATAATAATAAGAGTTATAATAATATCCACATATGACAATGCATCTCTTATTCCAAGTACACCTCTCCTTGATATGCCACCCTTATTCCTTCATCAAAACATGTAGTAGAACAAACAAAAGTCACCACGTCTGAAAGTACCCATTCTCAGTTCTAAACCAGAACAGACAATAGTCACCACATCTGGGGGAACTACCACTTAAAACAAGTTTCATACCAAAACAGACTTATGTCACCACGATTGGTAGAAATAGTTTACAAAAATCCAATTCCATACCAAAACAGACTTACGTTACCATGCTTGGTAGGAAGGTTTCCCAAACTATAGTTTCATATCAAAACAGACTTACGTCACCACGCTTGGTAGGAACATATCTTTTTATTTAAAAAGATAAAATACCCCTTTTATAAATCCACAATTAAATCCAATAATAGACATTTTAAACTATATAAATGTCTAGAATAATTAACACTTGAAAATTTTCAAATAAAAGTTATCCGGACAAATTATCCGGATACACAATCCGGACAACACTTGTCCCTTTTGTCCGATTTACTAATCCGGACAATCCAGGATTGAATTAAAGCTAAACCGCATGATTTATGTCCGATTTAAGGCAATCCGGACAATACATGGTCGGATTAAGGATAAACCGTTCAATACGTGATCGGTTTATAACTAATCTGCTCAACCCTTAAGCGATTTAAGGCTAAACCGCACAATGTTTGGTTGTATTCATACTTCTCCGCTCAAAACCTTTGTCCGGTTTACAAAAATCAAAATTCTCACTAACACCCTAAATCGCACAACACTTAAGCGATTTATGAATAAATCGGACACCTCCTATTCGGTTTAAGAGTAATCCCGACAAGCTTTGCCCGGTTTAGACTTAATCCGGTCACCCTTTGTCCGAATAAAACCTTTAATTAAATAACTGATTTCTTTTCAAAAATATAAGCAACAATCAATAAAATCAGTAACAAATTTTATACAAAAGAGGTTTAGAAATTACTCACCTTTATGCAAAAACTCAGATTTTGAAGAAGATGAAACCAAAATGATTCCAAACTTGATCTCTGGTTAATTCTTTTCTCTAAATCTCTCAACTCTCAAATGAGGCAAGAAGATTGTTTCCTCATCAAAACTTCATATATATACTTTCCTTATTTGGAAAGTCGGTCTATCCTCCTCCCCATTCACATGCATGCATACATAAATATAATTTTATGCACACACATGCACATGCATGCAGCATGCCTATATCATGCATGCATACACACACACACACACACACATATATATATATATATATATCCACATATTTTGCATATATACCATGTATGAAATACACATACATACGTATTTTAACCCATGTAAGCACGTATTCACATACACAATTAATTCACATAATAAATACCTTGGGTAATGATTAGAACCCGGTTATCACAAGAGATTTCTCGATTATGCCATCATTCAGCTTCGTGGCTCCGACATAGTCCATCATCTTTGTATCTTCGCCATACTAATTGGTATATCTTTTCTAATTTATTGTACTTTCTGATTCGAGTTATATACTTGCCAAAATTTTGGTTCTCTACTCTCGAACTTTTAAGATTAATTTATTTTGATTATTCATGAACACAATGTATTATTACAGAGGACCAATTTGTGTAGTTTCTGGGTTCAAATTTTATATGGAATCAAATTCAAGCTTGGTGAGAAAAGAGGAGAAACAAACGGAGTGAAAAGAAAGTGTAGGGGTGAACAACTGAACATGGGTCCAATAGTTGTTGAAGTCGAGGTTGGTAAGCTGTAAGAACAAAAATAGGTGAGGATGGTGTGACGGAAGAAGTAAGAATTGTATCGGGTTAAAAGCATTTGAACAATCCAATCCAATGTTTGCGGTTTGAAAAATGTTTGAGTTAGGTTGGGTTAGGCTTGGTGCTTAGTCGGGTTGAAACTCTGGTACTACCAATATATTTATGTATTTTTGTTACCTTGAATCCATATTCAAGCTTATCCTAATAATAATTCCTTTATTTATTATCAGCTAATTAGTATACCTTATCCATGCTCTTTTTTAAGTAGATTACATTCCAACTATTCTTCTTAATTTTCATATATAAGATCACATTTACTGAACATATATACGAAACAAATGCAGACATTAGAGTTATACGTAGACGGAGAAGAGATTTAAAGTATATGGATATGAAGATGGTGATAGGTCAAATGTACATATTAATAAGGGACTTAACAATCATATTAAACCCAAGAAAAAAAAGGTATAGGGTTCACCAACTTGGGTTCAAATGACGGTAACTCAATACTATGATTTAAAGATCTTACAACTCGGTTAGGCATATGGTGGCTTCGGTTTGGGTTATTTCACGTTACGTTGGGTTGGGTTGGGAAGGCCGGGTTTTTGTCCACCCTTAAAAAGGGTGATACCTCTTTATTTTTTAGGTTTTTATTGATTACTTGGTGCAATTCTTATATTGATTACCTAGATTGAATATTACATATGAATCTTATAGGATGCAGTTCTAGGACTATTTATGGTCTAGTAGTAGGTTGGAACTGAAGCTTCATGAAGACGAATTTGATTGCTCCCACCGATGATGTGTTAGGGGGTACGTAGTTAGTTTGTTGGTTATCCTGCTAATATTTATATCTACCTTCATACATGGTGCATGCCTTCCATCTTCAAGATATGAACTGGGACACTAGAAATCAGAAGAACCAGTTTTGTCATATCATATTCTCGTTGTAGGTTGTGACTTTTGATGCTTCTAGTTTAAATTAAGCATGTTGAGGTCATGCTCTTGTTGTGCTTCCGATATTGGAGTCATTGCATTCCGTCATTTTTGTTTCGATAGCAGTTGTCGTGCTTTTACAAGCGTTATTAACCTTCATCACAGCCACCACTCTTGGCCTTTGTCATGTAGTTTGAATTTATTAGGATAACAGTTAGGAACTTTTTGGTTGGCTTTCGGTTAAGTCCTATATGGATAAAGTAAAGTTGGTTGTGTGGATTAATCTATCTATATAAATCGGAAAGTTCTTGTTTGGGAGGATTTTTTTATAGATGGAAGAGCGTGTTTTTTAATTGAGAGGGACAGGTTTAGAAGAAAAAAACTTGGCTTTTGAATATAGCTCTGCTTGGAAGCTTACTGAATAAGTCACTTCCTATATCATTAAATCACTATAAAACGATCATGCATAATTGACCGAATAAGCTGTCAGACCCGTTAAATACATTAAGCCGCTAAAGATCAGGCCTTAGTTCAACAAAACAAACAGATCGGGTATATCCCCAGAAAGTAGGGTCTGTCGACCCATGTACGTGGGGATGTACACAGACCTCACCCGATCATACGAGACATAGAAGCTGTTTTCAAGAAAGACCCGAATACTTGTCAATTGTCCAGTGGGACAACAAACCCCTAGTGGGTGGTTTCTTGGGTTTTACAAAGATGAAAAGCCATGAAGCATCATTTGCACGGTAAGCTGGATCTATTAGTTTTTTTTTTCACAAATTCATTTTGTATGTTTTATATATAAGGTAGGTTGGGTTGAAGTGAGACCAATCTATTTTCGTGAGACCATAAAACAACACTGAAACTTCAGTGCAAAACATCATGAAGATACAAAAAACAGCGGACCTTCACACCAAAAACACCGTGAAGGTTTAACTAGTGTTTTGCAATGAAGGTTTAGTATTATTTATGTGGTCTCAAAGGTCTCATGAAAACAACATGGTCTCACATTGTATCAAGTCTCTCTTTATATATATATATATGAAATGCAGACTTGGGATCATGTGAGACCAAGGGTTTTTCGTGAGATCCGTAAGACCAATTTTCAACCCTTGGATTAGATCTACAATCTAAACATTCATAATCACAAAATGCCACGAGACTTCTCAATAATCACAAAATTTCCACCGTACAACTTTAGATCATTAACTTATAAAGTTGATCAATGAACATAAATTGGTCTCACAGGTCTCATAAAAAACCTTTGTTCTCATGTGAACCCAACCTATGAATGCATGTATTCATGTATATATACAGTCAAATTGTTGAGCCACGAAAATGTTGTGTTTGGTTTTTGGTTTCCAGCAACTATTATTTTATATATCACCACCTCACTTCTTTATTGTGGAAGATGAAGATTCTAGTGAAACTATTGATTGAAAGAAGCTAAGAAAATGCTAAAATTTGCAACTTCTTAGAGCAGGGAACTAATGAGCTTGTTGATTACAGCCATTTGATCTAGCATACAAGAACAAGACAACTAAGAAGATCAGAAAAATGAAAGCTTGATCTGCGTATGTTAATATACATGGCATTTTACTTTTATATATGCAAGATAGCACTAGAAACCAAAAAGAAAAAGAAAAATCAAGTCTTGATTTCTATATGTATATGCCACTGTTGTTTTCATTGTATTCCTAAAGCTTGAATTCGCCTAATCAGTGATAGAGATAATGCATTTCTTGCTTTCCATTCGTCTATACCCTCCTTCTGCCCTTCTTCTGTGAAGCATCTATCATGACCTTCGACTATGCTAACAACGTTCCTCATTGTTGGTCTTAAATCCGGGTTAGACCGTGTGCATGCCATTGCTAACTTCACCAGCCTCACCAATTCTTTGCGGTTGTACTCTCCATCTAATCTTGGATCCACCAGTTCTTCGTAATTGCCTTTCTGTGCCTCGAATACATGAACCCTTTTCACCAATAGCACCTCGGGCCTGCGGAAATCCACTGCCATCCGCCCACTCACCACCTCAAGCACCACCACTCCAAAGCTGTAGACGTCCGCCATTGGTGTGGCTTTCCCCAACTCCATATATTCTGGTGCCATATACCCAAAAATCCCACGTACACAAACTTTCTTGTCAACTTCTATATGATGTCCGTGTTCATTTCTTGTTAGAAATTCTGCTAGAGCAAATGATCCGAGCCTAGGGTTCATGTCAGGGTCGATATATATGGCAGAAGATGTGATATTTCTGTGGATAACCTGCTCCTCCCATTCGTCATGAAGGTAAAGAATAGCGCAGGCGAGTGATTTAACAATGTTGTATCGATGGTTCCATTGTAGAACCTGTGATCTTCGATGGCTGTGATGGGATAGAAGCTGACCTAAGAGACGGTTAGCCGAGTAGTCATAGACCACAAGCATCTCTCCTTGTTCGGTGCACCACCCACGAAGCTGTATGAGGTTCCGATGGCGGAGTCTTCCCAAATTTGAGAGCTCTTTTGCAAATCGGACCCGCAAGGCTGGGCATGTTTTCATCCCAAGCCTCTTTACAATGATGTCATGGTTGTCAAGAACACCATAGTAAGCAGTTCCGAAATCAACCTCTGATAACCGGTTAGAATCTGAGAAATTGTCGGTAGCAGAAATGATTTCCTTGTAGGTTATTTCCTTCGGAGGTTCGACCATGGGGAATGGCTGTAACTGGCGGCGGCTTAGTTGTGCAGTGGAGATCATGCCACCATCGTTGTTTTCATATACCTGTTCAGCAGTTATGTACAAGCTTTCTTCTCTGGCAGTGGCGAAGGTGGTTGAGCTACTGGAAGCAATTGCAAAAGTGGTGGTGTTGGTGCTGGTGGTGGCGGCAGTGATGGTTGTTGTGGTGCTGGTGGTATTGTCACGAGATACGGATATATACAGGGGGTGGGATTTAAAAGAAGGAAGGTGAGGGAGGGTGGCACAAATACCACCTGAAAGTGCTTCTATGATCCATCTCATGTTGGGTCGAGAATGCGGGTCATGGAGCGTGCATAGCAACCCAATATGAATCAGGTGCTCCATGTCATGAAGGTGGTAAGACCCATCTGGCAACCGGCTGTCGGCTGCTTGCAGAACCATCTTTTCGTCGGCTAATCTTCTGATCCTGTCGACGAGAATGATCTGATCGTCGGGAAGTGTAAGATCCACCGACCTCCTTCCTGAAGCAATCTCTAGCAGAACAATGCCAAAACTGAAAACGTCGGATTTTGCGGTGGTCACACCTTTTTTCTGGAAGCTCTCCGGCGGCAAGTACCCAATAGTGCCACCAATTCTGGTGGTGTCTACCAGCCGGCATGGGTGGTGGTTCATAGATGGCGTTCTTGTTTGGTATCCGAGTTCATGTTCCAGCCACCTAGCCAAGCCAAAATCACCAAGCCTCGCATTAAAGTGAGAATCAAGCATTACATTGCTCGTTTTCACATCACGATGTATAATCTGAGCCTCCAACTGTTCATGGAGATAAAACAGAGCCGCTGCCAGACCCTTCACTATTTTCACTCTCCTGTCCCAACTAAGTAGTGGAGCCACTGCAGTTTTATTTTTTTCCACTCGTCGGAAAAGCACCCGGTCAAGGCTTCGGTTTGGCATGTAGTCGTAAACAATGAGGAGTTGATCGTTGTGAACACACCATCCACGGAGGGGGACCAAGTTGCGGTGGCGGAGATGGGCCACAGCCACCAATTCTGCCGCGAAACTCTTCTCGAACCTCTCCCCAGTCTCGGCCAAGCACTTCACTGCCACCATGGTTCCATCAGTGGGTAAGACGGCTCGAAAGACTCTTCCGAACCCACCACTCCCAAGAATTTCGTCCTGGCTAAACCCTTTGGTGGCTATATAGAGCTCGGAATATGTGAAAGTCTTGGGGCTATGGGCGCCAACCGTCACCTCCTTGGAAAATTGGACTCCCTCGGTGTCATGGAAGATCGTCGGAGGTGGTTTTACGCAGAAACTGCAAAAACCAATGTCCCTTTTGAAATCAAAGAATCTGTGAATCGTTCTACAAAGGACCTCATGGAGGTGAATGCCACATGATCGGCGTTTAGGTGGTGGTGGTGATTTAGAGTGGGGGTGATCAAATGGGTGTATGTCGTCGCCGTCGGATGGTAAAACAAAGCAAAAGTGGTGGAGGTGCATGGTGGAGGGGGGTGGTGGTGGTGGTGTGAAGTTTGAAATGAATAAATAGACCCAAGAAAATGTTTATAAAGGGAGACTTCTTTCTTTGTGTTGTCACCAACTATTAGCATAAAGCCAGACAAGAAAAACAGGTGGAGCGGTCACTTACTCCCTTTGACATTTGATGGAATTCGGGCCAAACCCCCATTGGAAAGTCAATTTTTTTGGTGGGACAAACTCAATAATGTATTCAATATTCTTACAAAACAATTATACATATATATATATATATATATATTAATCGTGGTATTCTATATATATATATATATATATATTCTTACAAAACAATTATATATATATATATATATATATATATATTAATCGTGGTATTCTATCTTGTTTACATGGTATAAATTCATCATTATACACGTGAATTTGACAAAGTTCTCCTTTGTAGGAGATTATATAATTGATGGATGATAATAGACATGTATGATGTATGTATATATGTATATGCGTTTTGAATAGCTGTATATAGCATGTAAGATGCATTAAATGAACATTTAAAGAGGCCCATTTTTTGCATCTTTCTGATGTGGTAAGTTGGTACCATTACGATGCAGATGACATCAAGACAAATACAATATGATAATAACGTGTTGTCTCATGTTTGATATGATATTAAAGTAGGTTAAGATAAGATTGATATTGATTTTAAATGAGATGTATGTTGTATAAAAATTAATGTGAACATAGGATTGATTGGATAAGCAGCAATTAATTTGGAACTATTGGTGTGGAGCAGGAGTCACATAAAGATTTGGTAACCGATAGATAAGTCGAGATTATTAATTTACAAGAAAAATAAATAAATAAATAAATAAAAAGTCAAGAAAAGCATAATTTATTGTGAGGAGAGTGACATTGATTGGCTCCATATCTTGAATACTTTGGCATCATTAAAGTATTCAACTATAGATTTGTTGTATGTTTGAATTTAGTGTTTTCAAGTTGGCCAACAAATTTCTACATATTGCCGTGCTTTCTGATTATATAATTAAAAGAAATCTCGGAATCAAGTGTGTGTGGTGGTGTATATAGTCTATAGATGGGTGCATGTCAAGGTAATTGGTCGGCTCTAATTATGTTGATTCAACGAGTATGTCGGTTACAGTTCCAATTGTCAATCGGAAAAGAGTATCCGGTAGTAATTGGTGTAAGAGTTTGGCGATTATAATTTGGGGGGATTTGATAGTGAATTTAATTCCAATTTCGTCTTTGGTCTATCCCTAAATTGAACTATAAAATCTTATTATATTCACTAATAAAAGGTGGTGATTTAAGGGTTGTTTACCAAACGCTTATTCGGGTAAGTGAACACTAAGTCATTTTACTTTACCGGATGAATATGGTAAGGATCAAAAATCTTACACGGTAAGAGCAAGACAAGGACCAAGAGTCTTACCCGTTAAGTGAATGCCGACTCTTACCACGGTAAGCGTTTACCGGGTAAATTATGGTATACGATACTGTTTTGGTGGACTAAAATCTTATGCGGTGAGTAAATGATAGTGTTAAATTTACCGCGTAAGTGTTTAGTAAAAGACCCTTAATTTTGTAAATTAATAAATGTGTAAATGAATGTGATTGTTATTTACTCCTTAGAACATTATAATATTATTTATGTAAAAGTAATCATCACATAAATCTTTTGTAGATATGAATTAACATATGTTATATACTTATCGTAACAAAATATTTTAAAGGTATTACTAAAAATCTAATAAGAAAAAGTTATTAACCAAAAATCATATCTTTATTTATTTTATAACAATTACTAATTAATCATATATAGATTTGTCACGAAATTCTATAATAAAATAAAATGATACTTAATTTTTAAGTATTCAAGTTAAACAAAATATTTAACAGTTTAATTATGTTTTATTATTAACAGTTTTATTTTGTTTCATCATTAAAATATTCATCATTAACAGTTTTATGTTGTTTCATCATTAACAGTTTCATTATGTTTCATCATTAACATATTCTTCATCAACAGTTTCATGTTGTCCAATGCCAGTTTCATTCCGTTTCATCATTAACATATTAATTATTAACAGTTTCATTATGTCCAATATCACAGTTTCATTCTGTTTTATCATTAATACTTCTAAATACCTTATTGTCCCATCATTAACAGTTCCATAGTGTCCAATAAAACATGTTCACGGGATTGAATGCGGGAAAACGGATTTCAATGATCACAACAGTTTACAAATTGTTTCTGTTTTACCCTTTATTGTTGGAAATAATAATATATTATTTTATTTTTTTTACTTTACTAAAATAACTTGTTTTAATCGTAACATTTGATCATGAAAATGGATGAATGTAATTGGTTTGTATAAAAAACATGGTTTGCAAAATAACCCTCCTCTCTCTCTCTCTCTCTATATATGTGTGTATATATATGTAAAGATTGAGTTTGTAGTTGGTCAATATTTTATCCCGTCAAGCCAAAATCTCATCTTTGACGTTGATATTTAGGGTCGTTTACTGAGTGTTTATTAGGTAAGCGTTCACCAGCAAAAGTCACTAACTCCACTCACCTTATCCGGTAACATTGTTAGTTATCAAAAGGAATTGTCCGTGAGTGTCTTTTGCCAAGTAAATATTTACCAGGTAAGAGTTTTTTCTCTCACTTATCAGGTAAGATTATTGATCTTTATTATGTATCTTACTAGGTAAGATTATCGGTCTTTGTCATACTCACTCGGTAAAATAAACAACACTCAATAAATGCTTACCTAATAAACATGAACAAATTGCATGAAAAAATAACGTACTTCAACTTGATTCCTATTTTGGGTAACGTACTTTCAGAACTTCCATTTTGGTACCTAAGATTTAAAGTTTTAAACATTTAAGTACTCGGATACCCGGTTAAAACCAGTTACCATGTTGATGTGGCGAGTGATGAGATGAAATTGGGTTGAATAGCAAATAATACTGAGTTGGATACCACATCAGCATGGTAACTATTTAATGCTTCAATTGGTTATCCGGGTACTAAAATGTTTAAAATTGTACATCTTTGATACTAAAATAAAAGTTTTAAAAATACGTTACTTAAAACAGAAATCAAATTTAAATACGTTACTTTTTTTCATACAATAAACACCACTTATCTCATGTTGAAAGATGGATGGAATTTTTGTTGTATTTTATTCTTACATGTTTAGTAGCAATTCCAACATAATTATTATTTTTCTTTGAAATTAAAAATGCAACAAAATTGATTGAGATGATGTGAATACAAGTGCTCAACAATTAGAATATTGAAAGTTAACTTTTTTTAAAGAAACTCCATAATTAAAATTTAACGATTGTTAACTTTTTCACTTTTTTTTTTGTTTACATTTTGAAATTAAAAATAGAGTAAAGGTAACCTTTGGTTCCTAATGTTTGTCAATTTCAATGGATTTCGTCCCTCAACTTTATTTTATCCCTCACGTTTGACACCTTGCAACGATTTTTCTTCCTCCTTTTAACAGTCATTAACTTTTTCCGTTAATTAAAATTTAATAAAAGGTATTTTAATTATTTTATCTGTTTTCTTCATTTTCTTGTTTATCACAAAACCATCAAACTTTAGGAACCTGTTACGTTGTTATATCTAACATATATATAGACACAGTCACTAAATCACGGGAGACCAAATCATAGGCAGCAACCAAATCGTGGGCAACAACCATCGTCGGGGACCAAATCACAGCAGCAACCACCGATGGACCCTAACTCCCTCTCCCCCATGAAATATCTCTGTAAATCGATGATGAACCCTCAATGAACCGCCCTTCAATATCTTTCTCCTTCTGTAAATCTAGCTTCGTTGCTACTGCGATTGTCACTGAGACACCCTCTTCTATGAGTACCATCACCGTCACCGAGATAGAAATCAAAAGCAAAGGCCTCTGTGATTTGATCTCGACGATTTGCCCCCTTTGATCATCTATACTGTCATTGTCCCTATGTCTATGTATTAATATAGTCCATGTATCGTCTCCAAAGATGTGTGTTGGAAAAAGATGGTGGAACTGGACTCTGGATGGAAGGTCCTTGTGTGTTGGTCGGAGATGAAAGGGACCAAAATCGGATAGGGGAGATGTGGTTTTCTCCCTGTGATTTGGTCCATGTGGTTTCGCCCCTGTGACTTTGCTTTGTGGGTTCGATTGAGGGAAGGAGGATATGGATGATGGTTGTGGTGGTGGTGGTGGTTACCGGTTGTCACATGGTTGGATATATCACCGAAGGGAGCGGTGATATATTGTCCCTTTGAAAGATTTTATATATATATATATATATATATATATATA